GAGAGAGAGAGAGAGAGAGAGAGAGAGAGAGAGAGAGAGAGAGAGAGAGAGATGGAGAAGCCAAGTAAAGGCAAGTACCGTTCAAACTCTTCTAGATTTAAGCTTGAAAAAAACATCTTCCTTGAGGAGGAAGAAATTTCTTCTTCCTGAAGGAACAAAACATAGCCCAGTTGCCTTTTGAAAAAGCACATTTGAGACAACCAAGAACCTGGATGGCTGAGAATCTCCATAGACTTGAAGAAGAAAAAATAACAATTTAGCTTCACCTTGCAGTGACATCACTTTAACACAACCCCTGTACCCTCCCTTTTGCAAGTGTGACTCCAAGTTTGACATCAATTCTAGATGAGCTACTCTAGTAGTTGCCAGTTTCTTCTGAACCAAATCAAAAGTGCTCGGGGTTATTTTAGAGTTTTAGACAATACCTCCTAAGATCTACTAACTAGGATGACAGCATCAAAAGGATGATCTTATAATATGGTAACCCCCATTATGGCGAACCCTTAGGAGTTTTCTGTAATTGCTTTGTTACCACATATTTCCATAACCTTCCTGACAAAGGGGTGGTGGGAAGCCGGTCAATGGTTGTTAAAATTATTTAGGTCAATAAACAACCTCCCTTTACCATTATTAATATCAAGGTCACACAGGAACAGAATTAGCTACCTGGTTGGAGATCAAGCTCATTCCTGATGGAGCTTATCCTGCATTCAACTGTATCTATTTCCCCAAGAGTTCAGGGGTCTGAACAATCTCAGATGACCTTGCAAAAGGTTGCCTTGATATATCTAAGGATTGTGTCAAGCTGTGTTTATCTCCGAAGGGTTATGAGTGACTCTAACCACAAAGATCACAGTGGCCCAGAAGAAGTTCTTCTCACTAAGATACCTCAAGCAGGTAGCTCAAGGATGTTTGATCTGCTTCAAAATCACTCTACAATTTCTATTCATTTTTCAGCTTTATCATTCTGCCTTATTTATACCGAGTTATTTTTTCAGCACTTTAGTTTTGGGTTAAATAATAGAGATGTCCAACCTTGGCAACTTTAAGACTTGTGGACTTCAATTCCCAGAATTCCCCAGCCAGCCAAGCCGGCAGTTGAAGTCTTAAAGTTGCCAAGGTTGGACATCCCTTTAATATAAGTCACTTTGCTCAAATATGGTTCCAGGGGGGGAAAAAAGAATAAACAAACCTGACTCATTTGCAGTGGCCCAATGGTGTTGACTGAATATAAAGTCTGCATATCCTTGGCATTTTCATTTTCTAGGTCTTCAAAGAACCAACGGCCAGCATTGTTGATTAGGAGTGTCAGCCCACCATCTCCAACACACTTTTCCACTTCTTTTAAAGCTGCCTGGATGCTCTCAAGAATTGTGACATCTGAGGAATGATGAGAGTTTTTCAACAAGTACTGTACAGAATGCCCCTTCAGAATTGTTCATCAGATGTTTGATGGAAGTTCAGAAGATCCGTACAATTAAATAGCTCCTTTGAGAGGCACCTCGACTTCCAAGCCCAAGCTATTAAAAGCATTGACTTCAATAAAAGTGTGAGTATCATCAACAAAGTGGCACTCTGCTAAACATAAGACTCAAAGTAAAGCTGAAATTAAATAAGAGAGGGATTTGTTCTCTCTGGAATCAGAGACGAGCTGTGAAATAGAATGTCTTTATGCACTGTTTGAAGGGATTATTTCTTTACTGTCATCCTATGATCATCCAGATACAGAAACCATAACATATTCTGCTAATTTAGAAACCACACAACTAGAAGTCATGCAACATACAAGTCAAACCCAAACGAACCCACCGTGAACTTTATCGGAGATCTCGCACACTCTACTTAGTTCCAACAATGGCTTTGAGCTGGATTTCTGAGTATTTCTATAGAAGAAAAATTTGTTCCCGCTTACGTTTGGCTCTTGAAACTTACCTAGTTGCAATAACACCAAGTTTGGATGTCTGCATGCCAACTCTTTTACCTCCTGGAGAAAGGGAAGAAAAAGGGGAGTTTTGTTTTTAAATCCGGTTCCAAAGAGGGCAACATCAAAACAGACGTTGAACAAAGAAAGACATCTCAAATTATTTATTTATTCGAAAGACTAGTAAGACCACCCATTTTATGTACCAAAACTCTGGGTGTCTCACCAAAACAGCAATCAAAACATAAAGAGGCAATAAAAGCATCAAAAACTCCCAGTGCCCCCAAACAAACACTTTTCCATGTTAGCATAAGCACGTTCTTGATGGACCAGGCTTATGCTAACTCAAGGTGATCCACAAGGTGAGGCAGGTAGGTAAGGAACGACTGCTGGAATTGGGTCTGTCTAGTTTAACGAAGAGAAGGAAGAGGGGAGACATGATAGCAGTGTTCCAGTATCTCAGGGGCTGCCATAAAGAAGAGGGAGTCAAGCTATTTTCCAAAGCGCCTGAAGGCAGGACAAGAAGCAACGGATGGAAACCAAGCAAGGAGAGAAGCAACCTAGGACTAAGGAGAAATTTCCTGACAGTGAGAACAATTAACCAGTGGAACAACCTGCCTCCAGAAGCGGCGAATGCTCCAACACTGGAAGTTTTTAAGAAGAGACTGGACAGCCATTTGTCCGAAATGGTATAGGGTTTCCTGCCTGAGCAGGGGGTTGGACTAGATGACCTTCAAGGTTCCTTCCAACTTTACTACTACTACTACTACTACTACTACTATGGATTATCGCACAGTCAGCCAGATGTTCAGACTGGATTTGGCATTTTGTCTACCTATCGAGTCCTTACCCAGGACCTGGGATAGGCAGATGTGGATGTTTGATGGTATTACAGATATCGTCGCAGGATGGAAGCAGTTCCTAGTAAGGCCGCCTTTTGCAATTGACTAATGGTGAATTTGTCAATGCCAATGGTGTTCAAGTGGTGCTCCAGTTGTTTTGGGATTGCACCCAAGGCGCCTATTACTATTGGTACTACCTTTGCTTGCTTTTGCCACAGTCTTTCTATTTCTATTTGTATTATTATTATATTATTATTATTATTATTATTATTATTATTATTATTATTATTATTATTATTATTATTATTATTATTATTATTATTATTATTATTATTATTATTATTATTATTATTATTATTATTATTATTATTATTACAAGGTGAGGCAGGTAGGGTTCTGCTAGACTTTGGCAGAGAGTGTTCCACAGGGCAGGTGCTGCTATAACTTCCTAAATCCTACCTGGCAACATTTAAAGGGACAGACCTGGAGCACACTCACCCTACCCAAGCTGGTAGGACAGGCAAATACCTCCAGGGAGAGGCAGTTCTATAATAACCTGGTGTCAAGAGCTTTAAAGGTAAATAACCAGCTCCTTGAACTGTAGCCAAAGTGAAACTGGACGACGGTGCAGCTCACAGACAGCCGTGTAATACCAGCAAACTGTGAAACATCCAGATCTTCACACACCACTACACAGTGTGCCAGTTGTAACATTGTAGACGGCCTTCAAGGGCAGCCCCATGTACAGCATGTGGCAGTAATCCAACCAGACGGTCACCAGGCGTGAAGTTGTGTATCTTTATATCACACGGGTATAAACATTTACTTATGGATTAGGCAAAACAAACCACAACAAAGCAAAGGGGAAATAACACATATAAATACATAAAATAAAGTTTACATTAGAACAAAGCAAAATGATTATTATTTTGAAGCAAAAATGATGATTAAAAAAATTAGAAAGGCCAAATAAACAACAACAAAAAAGAAATAAGAAAAAAAAAACCATTTTAGGAAAAAGCATTCAGAAGTTCTACTCCATTCTCCTTCTCTTTTTTTTCCCTCCTCCAACCTCTGCTATTTAATATTTTTATGCTATGCTCTGGAGATCTGCTGCTACTGCTCATTTCTATTTGGATCATTTAAATTATTTTATAAACAGTTTCTCTTTTTCTTCAAAAAAACACGTTCTGAACTTGCTTTGCTGTACATCCCCATCGGAACATTGGAGGCCCAAGAATTAGCAGATTGCTTGAACTCAGTTAGTTGTGTTTTAAAGAAAATAAACCATGGCTTATGGTGAACTATGAAACCAACTACTCTTCAGCTTTTCGAGTCCCATTTTCTCCCATATTTCACTTGGAAGCCCAAGCGGGTGTACAATTCTTCTCCAACAACCCTTGGGGGACATATGGGCTGAGAGATATTCAGGAAGCTGCAAATCACCCATGAGCTTCATGGCCAAGTGGGAAGAGTCGTCTAAGTCAGGGGTCTCCAACCCGTGGTCCGTGGTCCGCTAGTGGGCCGTGAGGGGTTTGCAACACATCTTCACTTGTGCGAGCAGCGGTACGAGTGCGAGCACACTCCATTTAAGTGAGTGGCAGGTGCACATCCACGCCACTTGCACAAATGGAGCTACGTGCACATGCTTGCCAGCTGCTCACGTGGAACCATCCCTCCCCCCCATTGGTCCGTAAAGCCGGAAATGTTGGGGAATTCTGATCTAGGTCATTCCATCCTTGGTTCAACATCTTGACCATTACACCCCACCGTCCTGCTACATCAAGTGATTCTTACCTTGGTTTCTTCTCCCTCCAGGTCAAGGGTTGTAGCAAAGACCCATTTGGGTGGACATGGCAACTCCAGAAACCTCTTCACCAGACCCAGACCAATCCCCCGATCGGATCCCGTCACCAGGACGCTGAAAACACAGAAATCCATTGATTTTGCCATCTCTCCCACAGCTGCAGTTTCTGCTTCCAACTTGCTTTGAAGATTGGCTTCAAATGCTTCTTCTCATTGCACAAGGGACAATTTATAAGGTGGAGAGGCACCACCTATTTTTAGACCTTTTAATAAACTTCATCTGCCTACTAGGAATGCATTGTAATCTTACTTCAAGTAAAGATACCAATTTGGTAGGAATATGACCAGGAGGTTTGGGAAAGAGTGAGGTCTTGTCCTCAACAGTTGAAAGCAAACCTTTTTATTTAGTCTTTATTTGTGTTTATGCCTGTATTTATATTTTATTTGTGCGAGCTTCCCAGAGTCATGCATTCAAGATGTATTCATACATCTTGAATACGTGACTCTGGGAAGCTCGCAGAAATAAAATAGCAAAAACAAATAGCAAAACAATTACAACAAAAACAGTGAAAAGTACCCCAAACTGTTAAAACGTGTTAAGCATAAAGCCATAGGAAAGCACAATTCAAATCTTAAAGGCCATATAGCCATTGCTCAGGCTTTATAGGTCTCCAACAGGTTCAAACTCATTCCCAAAACTCATTTGGGGTTTTATAAACCATCTTTTTCCCCACACACATCTGAAATCTTGTGTTATAATGGAAGGAATGTCTAGGCAAAGAAAATAAATAAGATGTAATTTGAAAGAGACAATTTTCCAAGCAAGGCTAAACCTCAGAGTTAACCGTTTTCCTTCAGGGTATTTGTATCTATCTTACTATATATATACACACTATAAGCCACCCAATGTTGTCTGGAGTTGAGCAGCATCAAAATCTAAATACGAAATAAATGAAACCAATAAACAAACAGACATCTGAGGCCCAGAATTCATCAGAGGGAGACAGCCCAAGAGAACATTAGGCATTTAAAGGGAGTCACCTCCAACTTATGCAACATGCATTCATTAATTGCCCTAATTAGTTTCCACATTCAGCGCCTACCTAAACACAAAAAGCTCTGAATATTTATGTGCTACTCATAAAGAGCAAATGTAATCCAAAAAAATATACACGTCTTCAAAATGTCCTAAAGCAAAATCTGAAATGAAACTAAGGGCTATAAACAAGTAATAAGAAGGTATTAAATTTGTTTGTTTCTATTATGAGATAAACATCTCTAGAATCAGGAGTATAAAGGAATTTAAAGTGCTGGTAAGAGAAATAAACAACTGATTTACTAAGATTATGAAGACCTACTTTTTCCCCCCTCTCCTGTGATAGAAATTTACCACAATCCTTTCAGTGCTAACCAGTGCAATAAAGTCTATATTCTTTTCAGCATCAAACTCCAATCCCTTATATATCTGAAACAATTCCTAAATGTTTAAAAACTTACCTGACTATTTTTACACTGTTCTATTTTTAAGTCTGCCAGAAGGCTTAGATTTGTTAATCTATTTATTTTTAAAGTTTTGTTCTGGCCATCTAGATTGCCCTGAGATCATCTGGGATGAATAGGGAATGGGACACTCATTTGACCTATAACTTGCAAACTAGCCATTGTTCAACATCACTATAGAAGAAGAATCTATGGTCTAGGCTCTAGGACCTTCAGAAATTATGGTAAGCATGGCTGATAGTGTTGCAGTTGGGGGACACATACAATATTCCCCTTCCTTGTTATGGATTAATAGCAAGGAGGATTATTAAAGTGTTTGTGGTAGACCAAGATTTCCAACTAAGATAATTTGTTGAGATTTAGCAACGTGTGCCCTTTTGGCTCCAAATGTGTGTCTTTGTTTTGCCTCAGCCATATTTATTCATTATTGTGCAAATCATCATACATTTAAAAAAATTCTTCATGTAAACATCAATGGCTAAATTTAAAAGATTTTTAAGGGATCGAGCAATGAATATCAGAGATACATGTCGAAGTATTAATGTTAAACTTTAGATGTGCATGCATGTTGAAAGAATATGTTCTAAAAATAGTTGAAACAGGTAGACCATGCTTTGTCTTGAGACATAGATTGACATTGCATATGCAACCGTAAATATATATTTTGTAACATTTGCGGAATCAATCTTCCCAACCTCCAAACCCAGAACAGTCTTCATTGGTCGTTCATGATGCATTATTTTTTTTCTTTACTAAATGTTTTTACAATATATACAGATGTTTGAAATTTTGGGAAAGGAAGGAAAGAACAAGACTAGGATTTTCATGACGGAAAGCAGTTTATTGAAGGACCCATCACCTCTCAATGTATTATAAACCAATGACATTAGGGTGAGACCGATGGATCACCAGGGAACTCGACAACCCAACCAATCCAGAAAGGTCCCATTGTCCTCCTCAGAAAGCATGGACAGCACAGTCACGATACCTCGTGTGCTCTCTTCCACGGTAATTTCCGGCTGCCACAAAGAAGGATCTCATAAGGTTTAAAGAATCACACACACCCGGCCATAAATGTTCAACTCCAGTGTAGATAAGGATTTGTATTAAACTGGCCAATGTCATTTTGGTTTACAAAGTTATATGTGATGGGTGACAATGCAAAACATCCTGTAGATCCCTAAATTTGGTTTAATTAAATTAAGTTACCCATGGATAAGTAGGCTTTCCATGTGCAGGTACTGAATCAATCAAGTTGCTTCTAGTATTTCTAAAGTGGAATTCTTCTAATTTGTTTTGATATGTGAATCTTTTCCTTGCCTTCTGCTATTAGGACTTCCCAAATAAATCAACCCTGCCTTGAATCTTAAAATATGGGAAGGACCGTGTCTTAGCCATTTCACATACAAGCACATACTCTCCAATAGTTCAAATTGAAAGAGATCGAAGGAGGGAAAGTTGAGATTTATTATTCCTGCTAATGGAAGGAATAACAACTGAAGAGGAGAGGTTGGCTACCTTATTCACTTCGATCTATTAAAATTTCCATTCTCCCATTTCTTTGTCCCTAATTCAATGCTTTAATTCAAACTTTAGCGCTAAAAACTTCAGGACACAGTAGGTAATCCATATGTATCTTTGTGTGTGTGTGTGTGTGTACATAGATATCTGAATAGGCACCAATGTGTTATCCTCTTCCGAGGAGAACAAACTTACAACTGGGTTGGGAAAAGTTTCAACTGAGCCAGGATGGATGGAGACGCTCATAATCCCATTGGCTGAATAGTCAAGAGACTGGCACTTGGTGAGCATGTTCAAAGCAGCCTGCATGGGCGAAAAAAAAGGAAAGAATTTCCTGTGGGGAAAGAATGTACTGAAGAGACAAAGAGAAGAAAAGGCTAAGATAAATTGCGATGGACAAGATATTGTGCAGCAACCATCATGCAGAGCTGGGAAGGTATAGGACAGTGATGGCGAACCTTTTAGAGACCGAGTGCCCAAACTGCAAGCCAAAACCCACTTATGGATTGTCGAGTGCCGGGTGGGTGTGGCCCATTGGGTGGGCGTGGCCCATTGGGTGGGCGTGGCTGTGGTGGTAATGGCAGACTGGGTGGGACTAAAAAGTTCAATCAATCAATTCCAACTTTGCAAGATCTTTTTTTTCCCCGCGAGAAGTTGAAATTGACTGATTGAACCTTTTTTTTTTTTTGCATACGGTGGCGGAGGCCTAAAGCGAAAAGATTTTATAAAAGCCAGCTGAAGGCCTAGAACTGGGGCGACAGCGCGCGTGCCCACAGAGAGGGCTCTGAGTGCCGCCTCTGGCACCCGTGCCATAGGTTCACCACCACTGATATAGGAGGCATAGGCACCATAACTGGACTAAACAATTCCTTTAGAACAGGGCTTTTCAACCAGTGGTACGGGTACCACCTGTGGTACATTGGCACCTGGCAGGTGGTACGCGACCATCCTAGAAAAGTGGTAGCGGGGGAGGGGAATGAGAGCGCCGCCGGGTGGGCAGGCAGGTGTCTTGCTCGGCTGTGCCTTGGGGGGCACTTTTTTCAGTGCCATTGTAACTTCGAACAGTCACTAAGCGAACTGTTGTAAGTTGAGGACTACCTGTACTTTATCACTTTTTTCCTTTTTTTTTTTTGGGGTCATCAAGTTTTTGACACCTTGCTAGGCGACTGGTGGTACTCGGATATTGCCATATCCTAAAAGTGGTACAATGGGTGAAAAGGTTGAAAAGCCCTGCTTTAGAACACAAACAGGCAGAAAGCCAGAAAGCATTGTTCTGGCTAGCAAAGAATTGTGTATCTCAATTATTACATTTTTGGGAAACAGGCATTTCAGCCATCATCTGTTTGGAAATTTCTCCTGACTGAATGCTAAGAACTAGAAGGAAATTACCAGCACTTGGAATTCCTCTTCAAGTCTTCAACCTGCCCCAATATAGATGGGACATCACCTAGCTTGGGACATCCAGCTTGGTAATATCCATTTTGCTCAAACCATGTATGGCAACTTTAAAGGGACACTAAGTTTGCATATTCCATTTTCTAATCATGTTTAGAAAGGACATACTAATTAATTTCCAGCTATTAGAAATCTTTGGAGCAACAAGTCTAAAAACACCGAGTGTGTCTACCTTCAATCCTTAATGAAAGAAAAGTTTAACTGCAAACTAAGACCTTTAATTTTTTTTTTAAATAAACAGAACATATTGGTTATCATTATAACACTGATTTTAGAAAGCTATAAATGGACTGAGGGGCCAGATGGATTTGGAATAAGAGTTTGGAATTACTATGAAGAATCTTTCCGGTGGAAAAGTACTTTTGTTTTGAATTTGAAAACAAAACAATATGATCCAAAAGGTGTTATGGAAGAGGAACATCTTTTATATAACGAGACAGAGTTGAACGTGGATTTACAGATCAAAGGCTGCAGGAATGACATAGAAAAAGATATTACACTGAACGTACAAAAGAAATTGACCGATGTTTTAATAATTAAAATGGACACGCAAACAACAAACCAAGAGAGTTCCACATAGACAATGCATTAAGTACCTTACTACAGCGATAGGCAACTGAAGGTCCTACATTCCAATAAGCCATAAGTTCCATTGATGCTGAGGTGCTGGA